TTTAGATTATAATTGTATATATATATAATACTATAAATCGAATGCTATTATAAAAGCTAAGATACATTCTTACTTTATTTAATTTAAGCGTCAATTTCTGCCATCACGTATATTTATTTTCTAATACAATTTCACTTTTGAATTTAATTTTTGTAAATACTGTTCATACATATTAATAATATATTTAAAAATAGAATATATTAATAATATATTAAAAATAGAATATAAAATATAAAGAAATTTAATGCGTAATTGAAAAACATTGGTATGAATAAATAATGAATAATCTTTATGTTTCAAATAAATTCGTGTTCATTGTTAATATCATGTATTTATTAATTGATTTACTAGAACTGAATATAAAATAAATTGTTTAAATAATATTATTAACAGATGTGCTAAATTATTAATTTATATTATAAATATATGATAAATATATATGATACCATCATATAACAAAATAGAATGCCATTATAAAAGATAATGTATTTCCGAAATTAAAATTATTTAATTTTAATGTTATTTTCTGCTGTCATTGTATATTTATTTTCTAACACAATTTCTCTTTTGAATTTATTTTTTGTAAATAATATTCATATAAATTAATAATATATTTAAAAATACTGTTAAGACCCGCTTTACTTTCAACAATTTCTGCCAACAGTCTAACAGTAATTTATGAGCATGATTTTCGTAACGTTATACAGATTTTAGTTTGAACAGATACCAGAGCAGCGATCACTTCACGAGCTGTATTTGCGACGCGATCTCGTGAAGGCCCATCCTTCGAAACGATGATTGGTCCCTCTAATCCCTCTCTGTGTCCATTTTCACGAAATTGGAAGAAAAACCAAAATTCGCGGTCAAAGTAGTCGAACTAGAGCAGTCATAGAAGATAGTAGTCGAATCAGAACTAGCAGAGAAGAAGGTAGTCGAATTAGAGCAGCCATAGAAGACGGTGGTCGAATTAGAGTGGGCATAGAAGACAGATAGATAGATCTCGACGATACAGTTTATCAAAGCACAGTTAGAATCACACAGTTAGCTGCAAAGAGTTAAAGTATCACTATTCGTTCACTCAGAAAATTCGTTCGCTCATAAGAAAAACGACTATATAGTTTCTACGGTAGTAAGAGCAGTAATATCAGTTTAAGCACCCCATTCGTGCAATATTCAAAGTCGTACAAAAGCTTGCGGCTTTAACAAATACAATATAAAATATAAAGAAATTTAATGCATAATTCGAAAACATTGCTATGAATAAATAATGAGTAATTGATTATAACCTATGTAAAAGTTTAAAATTTGATAATTAAAAAAAAAAAAAATAAAAGAAAAATATATCAATCGTTTGAAATATATAAATATTTTAAGTGTTAGTTTTCTTATGTTTATTATTTCTTTAATTTGAAAATGCAAAAATATAAATAATTTAACTATTTTTCTTTTCAATATTTTTACAAATTTATATTAAAAAATTAATAATTGTTTATGAAACAGAATTTTGGAACATAAATAAATATAAATTTCACGTATAATTCCAATTCATGCTAATTTTCATAGTTTTGTTACTTTTTAAAAATTATACCATAATTAAAAATTACAATGATATAAAAATATTTAAATTCATAATTTTTATGATTAAATATATTAATAAACATTCATAATATTTATCTATTTGAAATATATTTTGCCCTATAAGGATTTTAAGATTTAATTTTATATATTATTAATTAAGAATAATATTATTTAGCTATAAAAAATATGTCAGTTTTAAAGAATTTGTTACAACAGAGGATAGTAATATAGATGAAACGTCAGATTTGAGTGAAGATTATAATGGTGAAATACAGGAAACGTAACAATACATTCTATCGTCATCCGATTCGGAAGATACAGAAAACAGCATTAATATTGGGACAATTTGGAAAATAAACGATCAAAAATACTTTTACAGAGCAAGATTTAAATTCAAATTTGAATTCGAATTTAGAAAATTTCGAAAATGAAATGTTTGTCATGGCTATTGTCATGATCGAAGAACAATTTCAAAATCCATAATACATGCATTTAACGATCAAATGAATAGACTTTTGGTCATCATGTTAATGCCGCGGGTGAAAAACTTGACTCTAAGTGAGTATTGGTATCAGATGATAAAAACTAACATTTTTTCAAAAATTATGGCACGAAACATATTATTGCAAATGTTACATTTAAACTCCTTGTCCTACAACAAAGAGTAAAACTCGATGGTAAGAAATTTGAGCTACAAACAATTAGTATGAGCCTAGCTCGTGACATTTCATTCGGGATAAACGCAAACACAACACGAGTCAGATTCGTGGTTCAGTTGTTCTCGATAAATTATTAATTTAGTTACGTATAATTTTTCGTTACGTTCACACGTTTACGTTATAATTCCCTAAAAGAATCAAACAATCATTATATCTATTAAATCTTCGAAATAGTGAAAAGTTATTTTTGATTTTTAAAAATTTCGGAGTATTTAAACCGTTTGTATCTCAGCTTCTCGTAGGCGTACTTAGGTTTTTTTTAACTCGTTTCAAGCAGGAAACTCTCGCCTTTCGAATCATCATATAACAGTGTCTGTCCACTAACGGTGTGGACGCTATGTTCAAAATAGTGAAAAGGTATTTTTGATTTTTAAAAATTTCGGAGTATTTTAACCGCTATATCTCAGCTTCTAGTAGGCATACTTAGGTTTTTTTAACTCGTTTCAAGCGAGAAACGCTCGCCTTTCGAACCATCATATAACAGTTTCTGTCCCACTAACGGTGTGGCCGCTATCTTCAAATTGTGAAAGGTATTATCGATTTTTAAAAATTTCGGAGTATTTTAACCGCTATATCTCAGCTTCTAGTAGGCATACTTAGGTTCTTTTTAACTGGTTTCAAGCGAGAAACACTCGCCTTTCGAACCATCATATAACAGTTTCTGTCCCACTAACGGTGTGGACGCTATCTTCAAAATTGTGAAAAGGTGTTTTTGATTTTTTAAAACTTCGGAGTATTTTAACCGCTATATCTCAGCTTCTAGTAGGCATACTTAGGTTTTTTTTAACTCGTTTCAAGCGAGAAACGCTCGCCTTTCGAACCATCATATAACAGTTTCTGTCCCACTAACGGTGTGGACGCTATCTTCAAAATAGTGAAAAGGTATTTTTGATTTTTTTAAAATTTCGGAGTATTTTAACCGCTATATCTCAGCTTCTAGTAGGCATATTTAGGTTTTTTTTAACTGGTTTCAAGCGAGAAACACTCGCCTTTCGAACCATCATATAACAGTTTCTGTCCCACTAACGGTGTGGACGCTATCTTCAAAATAGTGAAAAGGTATTTTTGATTTTTTTAAAATTTCGGAGTATTTTAACCGCTATATCTCAGCTTCTAATAGGCATACTTAGGTTCTTTTTAACTGGTTTCAAGCGTGAAACTCTCGCCTTTCGAACCATCATATAACAGTTTCTGTCCCACTAACGGTGTGGACGCTATCTTCAAAAATTGTGAAAAAGGTGTTTTTGATTTTTTAAAACTTCGGAGTATTTTAACCGCTATATCTCAGCTTCTAGTAGGCATACTTAGGTTTTTTTAACTCGTTTCAAGCGAGAAACACTCGCCTTTCGAACCATCATATAACAGTTTCTGTCCCACTAACGGTGTGGACGCTATCTTCAAAATTGTGAAAAGGTGTTTTTGATTTTTTAAAACTTCGGAGTATTTTAACCGCTATATCTCAGCTTCTAGTAGGCATACTTAGGTTTTTTTAACTCGTTTCAAGCGAGAAACGCTCGCCTTTCGAACCATCATATAACAGTTTCAGTCTTCAAAATAGTGAAGAGGTATTTTTGATTTTTAACACTAGATTTACCAGACCAGTCATTTTGTCTGGTTGTACAATTTCAATTCAAAATTCCTACTACATATAACATTTGCTTTCAGAAATGATGTTATGACTTTTGTAGCTATAAGTAGAGTATACATTTTATAAACTCAATGTTATTTTATATACATTAGTAACAAATATAATTTTTGTTAAATTGATCCACACGAAAATGTATACTGAAAGAGATGCAAGCGGAAAAAGAAAGTTGGCATAGCCGAAAACGTTTGCATTGAACTTGCAAACAAATTACTAAATAAAAGACGCACTTTATTTGTGGATAACTTTATGACACAAGTTATGAATTAGCACTTAAGTTTTTAAATGTTAAAAAAACACATGTTGTTGGAACTGTACGTTACAACAAAAAATATATGCCAAATTTCGTTATGTTTCACCCATTGAAAAGAGGTGAAACGATAGCACGGGAAGATCCCAATGATATTGCGGTGCTAAAATGGAAAGATGTTCGCGATGTTAGAATATTATCAACGAAGCATCCACCCATTATGACTTTGAGTTCTGATTCTAATGTCTAATGCAACCGCGATACGAAAAAGTATGAAGTGGTATCGTAAATTACATTTCCTTTTGGGAGCAACCATTGCAAGTGCACATATTGTATATCAAAAAATTACAAAGCAAAAAACAGAAATAAGAAAATTTAGAGAATGGTTTTTCTCGGAAAATACTACCGAAAACAATAAAAAAAAATAAAATGAAAAAAAATGTCTCCTTATTTAGAGATTCGTAAGAATTACCAAGAAAAATCTATAAGAAGAATGTGCATCCTATGTTATAGGAAGAAAAGAGAAATTGTCGAACGCCAAAAAGCGAGAAAAAAATATTAAAAGAATTACAACTTATTGTCCTAAATGTCCAAAATCACCACATATGTGTTTGAATTGTTTTCAACACGTTCACGCCGGGGCCGACTTTAATGTTTTTTGCTGCTAGGCGGCGCTCTAATAGATGCTACGCTTCATCTGGCGGCGCGCCATTATTTCCTGTGCATTCCTTCATAGGCGTCGTGTTTGCTCAGTAGTACAGCGGTTAGAATATTTTTTTAATTTTTATTTTAATAAAAAGTAGATAACATGGATATGGAATTAAGTGACTCTGATGAACCTATAAATAGGAGCAAGAGAAAGGCATCAAGATTACGGATACTTTCTTCCTCTTCTGACGAAGATTTTGTTTTTGGAAACAGTGATATGAACGAATGTTCCTCGGAGGAAGAAGATGTGGTGTCTATATCAGAGAACGAGGATGGCGATGAAGAATGGCAGGCAGTAAAAGAAATAACTTCAGTAATAAATGAATATTCGGAAGAAGAGGAATTTTTATATGACACTGACTGTAATGACCCTTTTGCTTTATACAAACTATTCTTCACGGATTACATACTAGAGATGATAGTTGAAGAAACAAATAAATATCCTACACAATGTATAAAAAATTCTTCATCTAGCAGTAGAATACACCAAAAAGCCTGGCAGTCTGTTACAAAAGATGAAGTGAATACTTTTATTGGCATATTGCTTATTATGGGTGTAGTTCAATTACCAGAAATTAGATTGTATTGGTCTAACAACGACATGTATGCGAACGCACGCATAAAAAAAGCAATGAAAACATAAAAAAGCAATGAAACGTGACCGTTTTTTATCTATTCTTAAGTTTTTACATTTTGCGGACAATACCACAGTTAGAACTGAAGATCGGTTGTACAAAATTCGAAACATTATTGAAACAATTGTAGATAGCTTCAAGAGTTCTATTAGACCTGGCAAAAATATCGTTATCGATGAAAGTATGGTTCCATGGAGAGGACGTCTACGTTTTCGTCAATATATTCCAGGCAAGCGACATAAGTACGGCGTAAAATTATACAAATTGTGTTTACCTGATGGCTATACTTATAATATAGAAATTCACGCCGGGAAAAATAACACAATCACTGAAAAATCACATTCTCATGATGTAGTTATAAGATTACTAAATGGTTTATTATTTGAGGGCCGCATTTTATTTACTGATGGTTATTATACGAGTGTTCCTTTGGGTGAAGAACTATTACAAAATAATACATTTATTTGTGGTACTGTAAAAATAAACAAAAAATTTCTACCACCGCAGGCAAAACAAAAACAAAAACGTGGTGAATTGATGCATTTCGAAAATCGTAGCGGTGTAAAATTTCTGAAATGGACTGACAAAAGACCAGTTTGCATGTTGACTACCTCAAAGAATCACCGGTGTAAATTTGTGGCAGGAACAAATGGCAAAGTAAAACCCGATGCTGTGTTTGATTATAATATTGCAAAAAAAAGGTGTTGATTTATCAGATCAACTATCGGGTTATTACAGTTGTTTGAGAAAAACCATTAAATGGTACAGAAAAGTTATAATACAATTAATATGCGGAACCTCCCTCGTGAATGCGTGGTATATTCATAAAAGATGGGGCACTAAAAATATGAATTTGTTACAATTTAGGGAAGTTATTATCGATCACCTTATGGCTGAAGAAGAAATATACTGTCCTATACCGTCACATAAACATGTTCTTCAATCATATGAGGGATCTGCAAGAGAGTCACGTAAACGCTGCAAGGAATGCTATAAAAAATTGTCCGAGAAAAAGGGCAGAGATTATGCCACTAACAAAACTACAAGAGTTAAGACTTATTGTGGCCAGTGCAAGGGCCAGCCAGCATTATGCGCTCTAATAGATGCTACGCTTCATCTGGCGGCGCGCCATTATTTCCTGTGCATTCCTTCATAGGCGTCGTGTTTGCTCAGTAGTACAGCGGTTAGAATATTTTTTTAATTTTTATTTTAATAAAAAGTAGATAACATGGATATGGAATTAAGTGACTCTGATGAACCTATAAATAGGAGCAAGAGAAAGGCATCAAGATTACGGATACTTTCTTCCTCTTCTGACGAAGATTTTGTTTTTGGAAACAGTGATATGAACGAATGTTCCTCGGAGGAAGAAGATGTGGTGTCTATATCAGAGAACGAGGATGGCGATGAAGAATGGCAGGCAGTAAAAGAAATAACTTCAGTAATAAATGAATATTCGGAAGAAGAGGAATTTTTATATGACACTGACTGTAATGACCCTTTTGCTTTATACAAACTATTCTTCACGGATTACATACTAGAGATGATAGTTGAAGAAACAAATAAATATCCTACACAATGTATAAAAAATTCTTCATCTAGCAGTAGAATACACCAAAAAGCCTGGCAGTCTGTTACAAAAGATGAAGTGAATACTTTTATTGGCATATTGCTTATTATGGGTGTAGTTCAATTACCAGAAATTAGATTGTATTGGTCTAACAACGACATGTATGCGAACGCACGCATAAAAAAAGCAATGAAACGTGACCGTTTTTTATCTATTCTTAAGTTTTTACATTTTGCGGACAATACCACAGCTAGAACTGAAGATCGGTTGTACAAAATTCGAAACATTATTGAAACAATTGTAGATAGCTTCAAGAGTTCTATTAGACCTGGCAAAAATATCGTTATCGATGAAAGTATGGTTCCATGGAGAGGACGTCTACGTTTTCGTCAATATATTCCAGGCAAGCGACATAAGTACGGCGTAAAATTATACAAATTGTGTTTACCTGATGGCTATACTTATAATATAGAAATTTACGCCGGGAAAAATAACACAATCATTGAAAAATCACATTCTCATGATGTAGTTATGAGATTACTAAATGGTTTATTATTTGAGGGCCGCATTTTATTTACTGATGGTTATTATACGAGTGTTCCTTTGGGTGAAGAACTATTACAAAATAATACATTTATTTGTGGTACTGTAAAAATAAACAAAAAATTTCTACCACCGCAGGCAAAACAAAAACAAAAACGTGGTGAATTGATGCATTTCGAAAATCGTAGCGGTGTAAAATTTCTGAAATGGACTGACAAAAGACCAGTTTGCATGTTAACTACCTCAAAGAATCACCGGTGTAAATTTGTGGCAGGAACAAATGGCAAAGTAAAACCCGATGCTGTGTTTGATTATAATATTGCAAAAAAAGGTGTTGATTTATCAGATCAACTATCGGGTTATTACAGTTGTTTGAGAAAAACCATTAAATGGTACAGAAAAGTTATAATACAATTAATATGCGGAACCTCCCTCGTGAATGCGTGGTATATTCATAAAAGATGGGGCACTAAAAATATGAATTTGTTACAATTTAGGGAAGTTATTATCGATCACCTTTTGGCTGAAGAACAAATATACTGTCCTATACCGTCACATAAACATGTTCTTCAATCATATGAGGGATCTGCAAGAGAGTCACGTAAACGCTGCAAGGAATGCTATAAAAAATTGTCCGAGAAAAAGGGCAGAGATTATGCCACTAACAAAACTACAAGAGTTAAGACTTATTGTGGCCAGTGCAAGGGCCAGCCAGCATTATGCTTGAAATGTTTCAACAAATTACATAAAAAACAATAAATAATGAAGTTATAAATAAAAATTCTATTTAATTTTTTTCCCGAATTTGAGTTACATTTATATACTGTATTATTATGTCTATGTTATTGAACAAAACTTATTTATATGACACGTTTTTAACTATAATTTTTATAAAAATAATATTTTTAATAATAAACGTTAAATTTTCATTATTTCTAATAACCCAATCTAGTGCGGGCCACCAGTGGTACGCGCCGG